CAGTGGTAGAGCTTTTCCTTTCAAAAGCACACAGCAACTCGCTTCTTTTGAAGGGCCTTTTTGCCCAATTTTATTTAAAAGAACGTCCCATAACATAAAGCTTCCTACACAGGGGTATCCACCATCAAGCAAAAACAACAAAGATTCAGCCTTCTGGCTTGTACTCAGTTTGATGTCTGTCTCCTGCAGACTCTTCCCAAATTATGGCTCTCGCACACAACTGGCCATTAGCACACAGCTAGTCTGGCTTCCACCTCTCCTTGGTGAAGCCCACCTGACTCCAAGGCAGAGACCTCCTGTCTGCCGGGGTGGAGCCCTACTGACTCCTGTCTGCCGGGGTGGAGCCCTCCTGACTCCTGTCTGCCGGGGTGGAGCCCAGAACCCTGGTCCTGACCCTAGAAAATTGCCCTGCACACCTGAGCAATCAGTATCCTGGCCATTTCCAAAACCTGGTCCCAGGATTGGAGATTTCATCCCTCCCAAATCGCTTTGAAATCTCCAGGCTCCAGGTCCCAAAATGGACCTTACAAACAAAGGAGGAAAGTGAAAAGCCACTTTCCTCCATATCAAACACTTACCCTGGAGCCCCTCAACCTGCCTTGTTGAGAATCCAGGGTGACATATCGCCACACTGTTACAATATATATATATATATATATGATTGAAATATATTTTGAACTATATTGAATACGGCCACAATTGTAGTATTACAAATATATGTCAATGTATTTGGGAAGAATATTTTAAAAATATATTTAAATATATTTTTCTTCCATGTGGGAACATCACTTCCGAGTCAGGACAAGAAGACGGGGGGAGCGGTCGTGTCCACTCTCTTCCAACCCCTCTAAATGCTGGCAACCATGAACCGGTCGTGGGCCTGCAGATGGGCAAGCTGAGACATAGCAGGCAATACAGAGGTATGCGGGGTGGTGGAGGAGGCCAGCACTGTGGGCTATGTAGAAGCAACCGGTGGCAATGACAGGTGAGCCCTGCTGCTTGCCCCTGCCATTAGCAGGGCTAAAGGTTAAAAAATAAACTACCTGCCTGGCACCCGGAACTACATGTCTTGGGCGTCGGGTGATACAAATTGAACATTCCTTATTCTTAGGGTATATTTAAAAAAAAAAGGTATTAAAATATTTTACGGCTCTATTGATAAAAAATAACTATGATCTTTGAGAAACACTTTAGGATAAAACAGACATGTTAGTCACTCATGCAATTCCCACGCCAAACCTACTTAAGCAAAAAAGAAAAACATCTATTAATATATCAATAATAGTATGGTAAATATACTGTATATACAGTATACATCAATGAACTACGGGAAGCTAAGCTGAGAACTACTCAGTGTGATATATATATATGAAGAACCAACATAAAAAAGGATTAGGTGTTATGTGCAAATCTTATGTATTATGTACATAATCCTTTTACATGAAGGTTATTCTTATAACTATAGCTGGATGATTACATAAGCCTTTTTTTTAAATATTTCCATAGAAATGTTTTTAAAGGTGCAGACTTTAGGGGTGTCATCCTAATTCTAGGTAAGATAGCGAGTCATTGACCTGGAAAAAGAAGGTAGCATGGGAAATTAGATATTTCATATTTTTCTGGTTGCCAGGTTCAAGATTATCATTGCAAGAATGGAAGCAAACAAGAAATGATCCAGAACCTTGAACCTTTAACGTTTAAATACAAGTGAGCAGTGTCACCTGATATGCTTCTATCCTCAAGAATATATATATATATATATATATATATGTGTAATTATTTATTATTATTATACAGGATTTATATAGCGCCAACAGTTTGCTCAGCGCTTTACAATATAAAGGGAGACAATACAGCAACAATACAGCTCAATACAAGAGGGTTAGGAGGGCCCTGATCCTTGGAGCTTACAACCCCATAGAAAACCTTTGGAGGGAGTTGAAAGTCTGTGTTGCCCAGCGACAGCCCCAAAACATCACTGCTCTAGAGGAGATCTGCATGGAGGATGGGCCAACATACCAGCAACAGTGTGTGCCAACCTTGTGAAGACTTCCAGGAAACGTCTGACCTCTGTCATTGCCAACAAAGGATATATAACAAAGTATTGAGATGAACTTTTGATATTGACCAAATACTTATTTTCCACCATAACTTGCAAATAAATTCTTTCCAGATCAGCCAATGTGATTGTCTGGATTTGTTTTCTCATTTTGTCTCTCATAGTTGAGGTCTACCTATGATGCCAATTACAGGCCTCTCTCATCTTTTTAAGTGGGAGAACTTGCACAATTGGTGGCTGACTAAATACTTTTTTGCCCCCCTGTATATACATACACAGTATATGCATATATACATACAGACTGTCTTATTGGAGGACTACTAGTTTAACTTATATAGTACATAACTGAAAGGAAGGGTAGGTGGGTAACACGTAACACTTCTCATTGACCACAGACTGTTTTATGATCACTTACCAATCAGATACATGCCAATCCAATCCCCAGCATCAACTTCTTCTTTAATATCCCAGTAGATAACCAGGTCCTGCGAGTGTCCTATGGCATAATAGGAGCTGCTGACCATCAATGTTGACCGACTATCCGAAGTGACAAGGTCAGTGTCACTGGTAGACCGTGGTATGGTTACTCCTTCATGAGGACTATTCCTGATGTCCATATTATGAAACTGGTCCGGATTGTAGCTGTACCTTAGAGGTTCTTTGCACCGGCGCCTATTTTGAGAGTTCCTCGAAGGAGAAGCCATGGCAGCCAGGCCGAGGAACCTATTTTGGTACAAATTCTGCAAAGAAATGAAAGAAACTGTTAAAATAAAAGAATTATCAGTACAACATGAAAAAGTATAATACAACAAAAGAAATGATAAAATAATTTCATAAAACCTAATTTTATCATTTCAGCGCAATACTCTGTTTCATAATTATCCACCTCTTAGCCTTCCTCTTGACACCTAACACAGCAATGTTCACATTTGTAAAATCAAGAGCCTCATTGATTGAGTATATACAGGCTAGGGCGCAGTAAAGATTGTTTGAAAAGACCTTAGCCTGATAGCATGAATGTGGTTTAGACTTAAAACAACACGTGTTCATTTGATTCAACTTCCATCTAACGCAAAAGAACTGTTTTTTCCTCATATCGTGATATTGGGTAGAGCTATACCATTTTCTAATAGCAATTGAGAATGTTTAAAGGGTACATGTACTTTCACAAACAGTGTTGGGAGACAACCAGTGTTGGGAGTCAATACAAGTTCACTGTACAGCTGTGTACAGCGATGAAGAAGAGGCAGAGGCTGTAAACAATGGAGCAAACTGCGGTTGTCTTCTTGTAGTAAGTAAGCTAGGTTGGGGGTGAGTTCGGGTATAGCTGGTCATACACTGAGTTTTTTTTTTTTGTTCAGCCACTGGGTTCCAAACAAAGTGGATGGTGGAATACCCCTACTGAAACATTGTGTTCTGACAGCTACATCAGAAGAATGGCCAAACTCATTGTAAGTCCATGACTGTTCAAATAACCATTTTTTCACCACTAGTGAGCATTTCTGAAGACACAGAATGTAGAACCTTGAATAGGATGGCTTAAGGCAGCAGAAGACTATAATAGATTTAACTCTTGCCAGTCAAGAACCAGAAATTAAAGCCATAGTGGGCACATGATCACCAGAAATGGGCAAACGGAAGATCAGTAAACTGATGAATGTTGATTTTTTTGCTGCAGCATTTCAGTAGTAATGTTAGAATTTGCAATACATGACTCTTTGGGATGAGGATAAATTGAAGGTTTTCTGCATTCATTTGTGGCCCTCAAATCTGAAAAATGCTATCAAGGATGCATTGACCAAAAATGCTATGAAATGTTTTCTATCAGTGAACCCATGCTGCACAGAATTCAGACTGTTTTGAAGGCAAAGGGTAAATAGGGGTCAGGGGCGGACTGACAACTCATGGGGCCCCCGGGCAATAGGGGATCATGGGGCCCATGTCCTTGCCCAAACTCAAAAAAGCCTATGAAAAAGGTACCAGGGCCATCTCATGGGGCCCCCTACTGACCCCGTGCCCTCGGGCAGTGCCCGAGTTTCCAAATGGTCAGTCCGCCCCTGGTCAGAATACTCCAATCAACAGCCACAGTTTATAAATGAGAAAAAATTTCCAGCATGTTCCTTCCACAGAAGTTGATCAAATTATCAAACTGAGCCCAATCTCCATCCAGAGATCTGCACTATAGTTTCGGTTTTTCTGGGTCTCTCCCTCCTTATTGACTTAGACAGCAGCAGTAGCCATTGGCTCTGGCTACTGTTAATCACACCTGTGAGCCAATGAGGAGAGAGTGGGGGCAGGGCCCAAGCCGCTCTCCATGTATCAATAGACACACAGAGCAGCAGCTCGAATGCGAGCTTGTTTGGGTGCCCCCATAGCAAGCTGCTTGCTATGGCAGCATTAGGCAGGAGGGAGGGGCCAGGAGAACCAGCGGGGGGGCCCAGGAAGGGAAGGTTCAGGGTGGCTCTGTGCAAAACCATTGCACAGAGCAGGTAAGTATGATATGTTTGTTATTTTTAAACAAAAACAAAATCTGTCTTTAATATCACTTTAATATATACAGCTAATACACTGTAAGTAATCTTTAAAGCAAATGATTTTATTAATGTGTGCCAATGTTTAAAAACCCTCTATTTCCAATCTGTACTAATATATGTAAATGGAACAACTGTGTTTTGATCACTAAAAATAAGCATTTTTCCTTCTGTTAATGTCTGGAAGTTCCAGTATACTTGGGAGCACAGAACATTTTTTTATTTTCATTTTCAGGAAATCATCATGGACCATAATTCACCCCATTATAAGTATAGGTAGAGATCTTATTTCAAAACATTTGCAACAGAACAACAAAGCATAAAACAGAACAACAATCACTGCTGGTGCCTAGAAATCATGGAACAGCCCTAATAAATTGTTTTCTTTACCTGGGGCATATTTTTAAATCATTGAATGTGACATTTATCAGTCATTTATTATTATTATACAGTATTTATATAGCACCAAAAGTTTGCTCAGCGCTGTACATTATAGTGGGGGACAGAACATGAGACAATACCAGGGGCGGACTGACCATTTGGAAACTCGGGAACTGCTCGAGGGCCCGGGGTCAGTAGGGGGCCCCATGAGATTCCCCTGGTACCTTTTTCATAGGCTTTTTTGAGTTTGGGCAAGGACACAGGGGTCCCATGATCCCCTATTGCCCGGGGGCCCCATGAGTTGTCAGTCTGCCCCTGGACAATACAGTAACAAAACAGTACACGAAGGGTTCGAGGGCCCTGCTCTTTCGAGCTTACAATCTAGGAGGGAGGGGATAGTGGTACAGGAGGAAGTGGCTGTGGGGGATGGAGTGGTAGGAGGAGTGGAGGAGATTGGCTATTAGGTGAAGGTGGGGTAGGCTTCCCTGAAGAGATGGGTTTTCAGGGTGCGCCCGAAGGTGAGGAGGGTAGGTGACAGTCTGATGGATTGGGGTAGTGAGTTCCAGAGGATGGGGGAAGTCCTGGGGAAGTCCTGCAGTCGGGCGTGTGATTGAATTACTGCAATTGAATCGTAATTTAAAGGATAAGTTCACCTTTGGAACATGTTACATGTTCCACCTGTTTTTAAGGTGGAACATGTAACATGTTCCTGTAGCTGTAGCTGTTCCCGTAGCTGCAGCGGCTCCCGCTGCTCCCTTCCTTTGACAGATAGTACGGGGAGAACTTTCCCCTTATTATCTGTCAATTTGAAAACAGTGTGGCTGTGTGAAGCCCCGCCCACACAGCCACTTCATTCATTTATGGACTTCCGTGAATGAATGAACTGAAAGTCTCCACAGCCTTAGCGACTGTCGGCTTGCAGTTTTCAGTGAACTCCCACAGTGATGTGAAGCGCCGTGGTAGTTCATTCAAGCTTCCTGTCAGAATATCTGCTTACTCGTACATCCCGCACAGCAAGCAGATATTCTGACAGGTCTGCAGGAGACCTCAATGGCATCAGTGATCTACTGATTGCTGGTGCAATGCTCTCCGGGCTACTTTGGACAAAAATAATAAATGCAGATTTTTTTTACCTTCAAAAATGTGCATTTTCTATTTTTGTCCAAAAAAGGTGAACTTATCCTTTAAAACACTGCAGTATACGGTATGCAAGATACAGCTGCAGTAAATGTGTGTTGAATGTCACATTCACTGCTTTCTAAATATACCCCCTAGAGTTCAAGATTCATTTTTTGCATTTGCATTTGCACCTATCACATTTTGCATTGAGCATAGAGTGAATGAGGTATACCTAGTTCTTCCAAACCCATTCAAAATTATTCAGCACCCAAAACATATACAGACACCCTGACAGTCATTTATTTCTTAGGTACATAAAAGCAAAGGCAAGTGCCCTAACATCAGTGTCCACCTCAGAAATGCCCGCAGCGATAAAAGAAGAAAAGAATTAGCGCAGGGCAGGCATGACTAGGCCCACAGTGGGAAGGAAGAAGTGTAAGGGGTTAATGATAGTATTAGAGTTGGTAAAGGATAGCTGGGGGATCTGGTTGGTAGAGGAGAGTGTAGGTGGGGTCTTCTGCACCTTAGGGTGGGGTGTCCTGGGGAGGGGCGTCAGTCGGAGCTGGACATAGGATAGAGAGCTTCCCTCCCGCCCTCCCTGTTTGGTGAGTGTTGTGTTTCTCCCGGGGGGGGGGTTATTTCAGTTCCTGGGTGGTGGTTGGTCTTTGGAGGCGGTTCTTATCTTGGAGGTACAAAATGGTGTGGGACCCATCGTTGGTGTGGTGTGCCCGGGAACATTCCCAGTTAACCAAGGTTTAACTGGAAGGTGGTGTTGCTGCACTGCGGACGGTATGGTTGTCTCCGAGCTGGTTGGTTGCGGCTGGAGGCCTAGTGTAATATGGTTGTCCGCAGGTGCATTTCGGATCGTTTTGGGGGTGCCTTCAAAGACCAACGACAACTCTTTATGTTTCTGTTATAAGGAATGGTTGATGTGTTTTAAACTTGATTGGTTAATAAAAGGCCGTGTTGGCCATTTTACTCCAAAATTGGTGTTGTGTTTTCTGTAAGTATAGTAAGTAAAGGGGATTGGTATGGAAGGGTAATGGTGGTGTAGTGGGGTCTGGATGAACCTATCTCGGGTGCACTAGTAATGATAAATGACAACTAATCAATGAAATCTGAACTTGTTTTGTGGGACCTTAAGGGAACTGGCATAACAAGATTGCTTTGAAGAGCAGCTGTTGGCTAGAAAAGGTAAAGGTATGACATACAGTATAAAGACAAAAGGACAGGGCTGTGCATAACAATGAATATATTTTTTTTTTAAATTGAATTTGTTCTGACATCCAGAGAATGGTATGACAATGCTGATTAGGCTCTACTTATCACATATAAAAATAGTTTGTAACAATAAGCAAAAAAGGTCTATAATTCTGAACATTACATTTACAGTGTATAAAAAAGAAGTATTGCCAAAGCTTTTTTTTGGCTATAATTCTCCTGTGGGTCACAGGGGTGTATTTAAGGTCTGTTGTCAGTTGACATCACAGAGCCACTCTAGACTCTGGAAGGATCCTGACCATATTGTCAGGATCCACCCAGCTGCCGAAGCCAGCTGCACCTGCCCCCTTTCCAGCCTGGTGCTCCAGTGAGCACTGTAGGGGATAACCAGAGAACGGTGCTTAACCGCATGCCGCCCAGCCACTGTACATATACGGTGGCAGGGCGGCACTCACAGGCAAAACCATGTTTTAAAAACGTGTGTTTTGTAAACAAATAGGGGGCGCGCGTGAGGCGCGCTGCTGCCCTATTTGTCCTGTGGATCACCGCCGCAGATGTCAGTTGCCGAGAAAGAATAGTTTCACTTTCTCGATCAGCCTTGTCCCGCCCAGTACACACCCCCCCCTCCCCTAGTAAAACACTCCCCTCACTCCTATAACCCTTCCCTGCAAAATAAAGTTAACCCCTTCCTCCCCAGTGCCATTAGCACAGTGTCAGTTTTTTTTTTTTGCACTGATCACTGTATTAGTGTTTTTGGGGATGTCAGTGACCCCAAGTCAGTTCCCCCCAATGTCAGAATGTCCGCCGCAGTCCCGCCATAAGTCCCTGATCGCCGCCATAAGTCGCTGATCGCCGCCATAATTCGCTGATCGCCACCATTATTAGTATAAAAAAAAACCCTAATAATCCCAGTATCTTTCCCGCCATTTGTAAACGCTATAACTTTCACGTAAACCAATTAATTTACACGTATTGGATTTTTTTTTTAGCAAAGACATGTCGCAGAATGCATTTTGGCAGAAATTTATGACTAAATTTGATTTTTGCATTTTTCTTTTACTGGACATGTTTTATAGCAAAAAGTCCAAAATATTGTTTTTTTTTTCCTTAAAATTGTCAGCCTTTTTTTTTTATAGCGCAAAAAATAAAAACCGCACAGGCGATCAAATACCACCGAAAGAAAGCTCAATTTGTGGGGAAAAAAGGATGTAAATTTCATTTATGTACCGTATTGCATGACCGCGCAATTGTCCGTTAAACTAGCGCAGCGCTGTATAGCAAAAAATGGTGTAAAATTGCAGTATCTATACCATAGTTTGTAGACGCTATAACTTTCACACAAAGCAATCAATATACACTTATTGGGATTTTTTTTACCAAAAACATGGAGCAGAATACATTTTGGCCTAAATTTATAACCAACTTTGAGTTTACTATTTATTTTTTATAGCTGAAAATAAAAAATATTGTTTTTTTCTTCAAACTTTTTGGCGTTTTTTTGTTTATAGCGTGAAAAATAAAAAGCGCACAGGTGATCAAATTACACCGAAAGAAAGCTCTATTTGTGTGAAAAAAAAGGACGTAAATTTCGTTTGGGTGCAGCATTGCATGACCGCGCAATTATCAGTTGAATTAGTGCAGCGCCAAGTAGCAAAAAGAGGCGTGGTCATTAAGGGGGGTAAATCCTCAGGAGCTCAAGTGGTTAACAGTCCCTTCTCTCTGCTCTCAGAGCTGACTGAGAATTTAGCAATCAGCAGTCCTGTGATCACTCAGTTCTTGGGCTTAGAGTCGGTGTGGGAAAGCTGCAACATCATCACACTGATGCTGCAGCATGGAGGCAAGTATAAAATTTTATTTTTTGAACAACCCCAAACTCCTTTAAGTGGCACTGAGCAGTGTGATTGGTGACTATACAACCCTATAATTCAATTATGATTTTTTTTATTACTAACTAGTCGCTAAAACTACCATTCTAAAAAGGCCAGTGGAATACGGTAAAACTGTCTGTGACACTGGCCTCCGGTATTGTCTTCAGGAATCACGATCCACACTACACTGATGTCCTGATTTATACCTTCACCCTCAGTTACACTGTAGCTGTGATGTAAATGATTTTGACAGTACACCGGATATGGGAAAGAAGCCAGATTTAGTATGCTGTAATTGTAAACTCAGTCTCCACTTCATTAAGTACAACTGTTTAGTACCCCTAGATACCCTTTGCCTTCAAAACAGTCTGAATTCTTTGCAGCATGAGTTCACTGATAGAAAACATTTCATAGCATTTTTGGTCAATGCATCCTTGATAGCATTTTTCAGATTTGAGGGCCACTGTCAGGAGTGGACTCAGCACTGGTGGTGGGACTCACCTGCCATGTGGGCTGCAGTACCAAGGCTGACCAGCGGGTGCTCTCAGTAGCCAGAAGCTCACTCCTGCAATAAGCCAACACCTGGGGCTGATTGCAGGAGGTGTATTTAAGGAATGTCCAGACCTGCAGTCAGGGCCTTGGTGTATGTTTCCCATGAGCCCCTGTACCTTGTATCCTGTGTTCCTGTTCCTCTGCCTATCTGATTTGTTGCCAACTCTGCATTGTTCCTGACCCTGCTGACCGTCTCCTGTTTAACCCTTGGCTTGCCTGACCATCCTTCTGCCTGATCCTCTGTACCGTGCTGCCCGTGAGTTACTGAACCCGGCTTGTGACCCTGACCATTCTCTGCCTTATCCTCTGTACTGCGCTGCCCGTGAGCTACTGAACCCGGCTTGAGACCCTGACTATTCTCTGCCTGCTCCTTCGGTACCCGCACGTTGCTGACCTGGCCTGCCTGACTATGCCTTACGCTACCCAGACGATCCTTCCATCCTGCACGGATCCAGCCGTCCCTGCTCACACCTTCTGCCTCTTCACATCAGGCTTCCTACCTGCATATACCTCTGGCGGATCCCTCTACCAC